CAAAAACGTTCGAGAGTATACTTTAGTGAGACCAACTGTATTAACAAACGCAATAGGAGAAAAATAGCCTTAAGTTTCAAGCATGAACATTTTGTAAAGTCCAATTTATCAGGCAAGTTTGAAAGTCAAATTTTTTTACACTGTTTTGACTAATTTGCATACGGATTCAGAGCATACGCGGAAGTTTTTCACTCGTGTCGGTAGGGGGTCATTGCATAAATGTTTTGATCATATTTATTTGAATATATTTTCCCCGCCCCCCTCTCCATAAACAATGACCGGCCCCTAATGCATTCTACAAATCGAATCATTATTGTTATTTTTGTTGGTAATTTAAAGAAAATACTATTATAGGTTGTAATTAAAAATGTGTTTGAATTATATGAACCTAAACTAAAGTTTATTGCTTAAAATAAATCAGTATCTTATGAAGAAACTGGTCTGTTTTTATTTACTCTGGAGAGATACCTAATTTAAAGTTATTTCCAAATAAGAATAATAGACGACTAGGACTAACAGGTCACGTGACACTTTCTCCCTTAAAACGAGCAGGTTTGTGAAAACGAACATGAGGAATGAAAAGAGCACCCCAGCATTAGTAGGGTGGCGGAGTTTTAGCTCATGACAAACGAAAAAGGAGAAATGGCATTGAATGTAAAACACAAGCATTTTATAAGGATTTGTATGGGAAAATATGCTCTTTGCCATCCGTCACATTTTCCCATACAAATCCTTATGAATATTTGATTTTATACTTAATGCCATTTATCCTATAGTCAATGATATGAGCTGAAACCTCGCCCTCTCATCAATGTTGAGCTGCTCTTTTCATTTCTAAAGTTCGTTTTTACACAGCTGCCCGTTTTAAGGGAGGTAGGGCAAGAGAATATGAACTAAGAGAAGGAATCCTACCCATATAGCCTTGTAACCATCATGTGCACAGTTTGATGCTATTTTTAGCTTGGAGATATTTTGAGAGAAGAACCTGATTGGTTTATTTCTTGGGGTAGGCGGCTTCTAGTCTTGCAGTAAACAAGAGCCTGTGTTTTTGTCGCTTTTCGTGTCCTAAAACGAGGCATTAAAGGAAGCATGATTATCGCGCGGGCATGGTAACGAGCTAAAATAGCATCAATGATTCTAAAAATAGCATCAAAGTGTGCACATGATGGGGCACGGGGATTCCTTCTCTTAGTTCATTTTCTCTTGGGTAGGGTCATATGACCTGTTAGTGCAAGTCAGCGGTCTATTGGAGAAGATCAAGGTAGGGTCCTTTCAGCTGATCTTGAGAAAAAATATTAGGCCATCGGAATCAAGTAAATTTATAAAACTGTGGTACCATGTTTCTCTTGAAATTATTGATTTCCAGGCCACCAAATGAAAAAAGCTGTGTGTGTGTTTTTTGTGGATTGATAACAGCGACACAATAATTGACGAGTTTATTATATTTTATTGCAATGGCGGGCATGTTTTTATTTTTCGCTGGCCAAGTTTCCTCTGCCAAGCATGGTAGGGTCGTATGCAGGGTGATGTAAACAAGGAGAGAAAGTAAGCAAGGAAAAAAACGAACTAGGAAGGTACAATGAAATATATATAGATTACGTCATAGAAAAGGTGGTGTACGAGATTATTTTCACTTGTCGTTTTTGTAAAAAATATAAATAAATAAAAGGAGTGAAAATATGGGGAAACGAGAAAGAGAGAAACAACCTGGAATTAAAAAATACTGTTAAAAATAAAAGAAAGAAAGGAAACCAAAAAGAAAAAAGAAAAAGAAAAAGTAAAGAGTAAATTAATAAAAAGAAAGGCTTTTTTTCGCTTTTCCGAAAACTGAACACAGAAATTAGAATCTAATAGGTACCCTCCCCTCCCATGAGGAGCTTTATGAGGGTAAAAAATTCTCAGTAGGGGCCATACATAGGTGTTATCATGTGTCAATCACAGGTATCCCAACTTATTATTCGCCATATTGTTTTCACAAGCGTCGACCAGCTGTCTAAAGAACAAGGACTTCTTGTATTGTCGCATGTCTATAACACAAGCTACTTTTAGTAGATCACTTAACCTTTGAAGCACTCAGTTCCTAGAATGGACGAAGAAGAGATAGACTTCAGAACTGAAGCAATAGCAATCATTAATGATATATCTTTCAGTGTTGAAAACATCACAGTTTCTTCCAAACTCCCAGCAACACAGGAGTGTGTGTATCTTAACATTCAAACCAAAGAGAAACAGAAATATTGTGTCCAGATTTGTATTCAAGGGTTCAGAGTAAGTAGATTCGTTTATGGTTGTTGTATTTGATAGCTCTGTGCTGCAATAGCTACTTCAATATCGACTTCTTGTCCATATACAATCACAGAAACTGTACAGTTATGATAAAATGTGGTCGCTTGTATACTAAATAGCCTCTGATATGCTTTCTTTGGATGTTAGTATGACATGGCACTCTCCATCAAACATACAGAAATGTAAAACCTACCACACATTTAAGTAGAAGAAATGCCCTTTAAAACTCGAATTGAAAGAGAGGAAAGAAAAAAATAAAGGAACATTTCGTCTTTATCATTTGTCTCATAAGTAGCTTATATATATATTAGATCTTTTGTTGTTTTGATTGCAAAGAATTCAACATGTATTTCCTTAATTAATCATGGATTTGTTATGACTATTCAAAGTTTTACGAACCTCATTAGTAACCAAGAATGTGTTTTTGTCTATTTTCTTTGTGCTGTTTTTGCTGAGATGGTTTTGGGTGTGTGTTTGAAAAGTTATTTTTAAAGGGTTTATGAATTATACAGATCTAGTTGTATCATGTAAATCCTTTATTAGGATGAGTGGAATAGGTTTGTTAGCCATAGGCTATAACCAGCAAAAAAAAAAAAACATTTGTCTGCATAAACATATATTTCAAAAATTTGGTTGGTGGCGGTTTTGATACATGCATACAATACCCATCTCGAAATAAGCTATGGGCAATGTGAATGCAATCAGCAAAAAGTCTCAATAATTGAATATGAATTTGTGCCATACATTTCTGCATGTTTTTCAGGCATTATAATCTTTCTGTGTGTTGACATCATTTGCATATATGATCGACAATTTATACATTTCATGCTATTATACATCACACATGTAGGCAACAATCAAAAAATCTTCCTCAGATCTTGTTTTTCCAATTTTCAATCTCATGGTCTAGTTGTATAGAGTCAGGACAGGGTTGACTTGTGACTGAATTGAGATTTAGCGCAGCTGGTTTTGCTGAGGAAGAACCTTGAGGAAAATCGTCAATACAAGGACAGTTGGGACCCAATAGATAAAATTCTAGATCTACCCATATGTATGGGAAGCCCAGGAATCAGAAGTCAATGCAATATACTACTATACCATCCTTTAGTATACCTAAATATTTAAGACAATTTTGATATATTTGTTTAATTCTACAGGTTGTGAGTGAGACATATGATGAGCATGAAGAAGAGTTAGGAAACCCATTTTTTGAAACCGTTTATGCATTGCTTGATACAATAAGCCCTCAGTACTCACAGATGTTTGGTAATGAGCTGTCAAGAAAACTCTCTGAAATCAAAGATCTTCAGGATGCTGGAAATCCTGGAGACTCTGGAAACTGATAGCATGAAATATTATTAACAGCAATTATGTTTGACCTTTATTTCTTAATAAGACCTAATTCTTGATTTTCCCATTTCAAAATTATAATGTTATATTATAGGAATTTTTTGTACATGTAAAAAAAATTGGATAGCGTAAATATCAGTGTAACTTACTTTTAATTTATGTTATTGAAATTTTGAAATAGGAAAATATTACACCCAAGCAACTTAGGTTGGGCGATTTTAGCTCCATGTAGAGAAACCTATGTACATGTAAGAGTTAATTACCGAGAACGGAGGCAATAAGCCATATACATCCTGAGGGCCGCAGGCCCGAGGGATGCATAGGCTTATTGCCGACGTTTGAGTTAATTAAGTATATTATTTATCAATTGAGAAGGTTTTCCATCAAATGTTTATATATTTGAATTGCTCATTAGAAATGCAAGGTCAATATATAGTTATTAACTGGGTAATAACTATATATTGACCTCGCATTTATAATGAGGGTTATAGCAAAAATCAAGCCTTGTGAATAACAAAGAAAACTGTGTCAATTGATAAATAAATACTAGTTATAGCCTTTCTGTAAGGTAGGAAAGATCATATATATCTTGAACAAATACTTTGAACCTTTGGATGCATTTTTATAGTCAACCAGCATTTTCAATCCAACTATATCTCATTCACAATAATATTACAATCGATTGATACTTACATTATTTAATGAGATGATTTGCTGGACCAAGTCCAATTCATAACTTAATCCTGAAAATATTCATACAATATCTAAACACTTACAAAATTGTCACCACAATCTAGCTTTATTATAAAATATTGGGTATATTTATATATATCTTATTTAAGAAGAAATTTAAAAGCATTTTTTGAGCTGGCTCTCCCACACTTAACTTCACTTTGTAATTTTATCAAGTGATATGCTATCAGAATACTTTTCCTATCTCCCTTTCTCAACATGCAGTAAGAAGATTTGAATACTAGCTAGGTAAACCGTGCGCAAAAAGATTCTGCTAGTGATGCTTTTATAACTTAAGATGTAATATAGATAATTGGAATTGCTATCCCATGACTATGAATGTTTTGGGGATGGGGTAATATCGACTTATCAATTGACAATATCCAACCAAGATTGGCTTTTTTCTAGGCAAACAACTGTTAGGCTTGTCCTCTTGACTATAGTCATATTGCCTGCATGGTCAATGTTGGTCAGTCTGATGTGGTCAATCATCATATCCAACTACTGAACAGCTGTTGTTACTTTATTCTGAGCTTTGTAGTGAGGATACATATATAATCAGACTTCCTCTTTAGGGTGGTGTGTAGAGTATATGAATATTTTCTGTAGCTTCATGAATCAATAGTAAATGTAAAATGTAGTAACTTGTATTGACAATGTTCATAATTCATTTACATATTGTATGCTAGCATATATTTCAAAAGGGAACTGTGTCCCAATCACCTGATCTTCAAGTCAACTTGATTCCAAGATCCAGTCATGCAATATATAGTGCCCAGATCACCTTAATTTCACTATGGTGTGAGTGGCATAATGTCCTTGAAGTTATTAATATAGGTAGTATTATTTCTAGCCTTTGTTACATATATAATTATTTGATGTATATCATAGATTTATATCACTTTTGCATGATGGCATCATTTTCCAACAACTATCAAAATGCTTTGTGATTTTTTTTTGACAGATTTGTATTTCATCATCATGAGAATAATAGAAGTAATATATAAGTTAGACAATTGGACTAACGTTCTAATCAACTAAACAAAAGAAACTGTGCATGGATTCTGGTAGTTTGTCTGTAAATGATGTACACTGCAATTCAAATGGCCTTATTCTGGACGCGGAGGGGGGGGGGGGGTACTATGCCAGAATTTGGGTAGGGGTGTTCTGCTGGGATTCTGAAAGGGGTACCCTGTTTATGATTAAAAAAAACTCAAATTTGCTGTTTCAATTATCATGTCATCTCGCGTATGTTTTTTTTTACGACCATAATAACCAGTTTCGGTCAATATGAAAGTAGAATCCCTGAATATGATAGGAAACTCAGGAAGAACTTGGAACTTGAGTGAAATTGCACACCCTGTTTATGATAAGAAGCTCGAAAAACCATACCTTGTTCAGCAGATCATCCCCGTATAGACAAGACAAGACAACGTATTTTATTGGCTTCGTATAAACATATTTGGACTGCTACCAATAAAAATATAGAATAGTTCATATATATAGATATTGATATTGATATTGATATTGATATTGATGCTTGGATGACTACAAATAAATTGAAACTAAATAAAGGCAAAACTGAATTCCTGTTATTTTCTTCAAAGCACAGCCCACAGTTAACTCTTCCTTCTCTTCAATTTGGTTCTGATGTGATAATGCCCTCAATGCATGCTCGGAACATTGGTGTCATATTT